CCTTTTTTGTTCCAATTTTGGACCATTTCTCGATTTCTGCGTGTCATTCTTGATGCCTGGCGCATGCTACCGTCTTTCCCCCAACATAACGGCCCCTAAAAATGAATGTATACGAGTTATATTTCCGGCCAGATACCGCCAAAATGAGGGTGCGTTGTGTTCGGGGGAAGACGGCAGTCTTCACTGTCTCCCTCCATTTTTAACGGCTGTCCCGGAGGACTTCCCCAGATTTTCACCGACTCACTCGTCAGCAGGTCCATCGTCGGCACTCTGTGCAGGATGGATTTCACTCATGTCGCACACTCGAGAGTTCTTTTTGAACCCCTGCCCCGGGAATGGACTTGATTCGCACCAACCCGTGTAATCTTAGCTGCATGGATTTCACTGACGTCGCACACTCCAGAGTTCTTTTCTGAACCCCTGCCGGGAATGGACTTGACTTGATTCACACCAACCCAGAGAATATGTCGACGAGGGCGCAGCACTTCGTGTGTCCTCTTACGCACGGCGCACCATAACCAAGTTGAAGAAGGCTCTGTTTGTGAAAACAGCTGGATGTTTGTGAAAACAGCTGGAGATATCAGAAGTGAGAATGCTGACATGAGCCACAAAAAATCAGGTGAAAAAAAAACATGATCGCCGAGTTTTGTAATCTAAGCTGCTGCATGGATTTCGCTGATGTCGCACATTCGAGAGTGTTTTTTGAACCCCTACCGGGAATGGACTTGATTCACACCAACCCGTGTAATCTTCGCTGCAGATTCGAGTCCGAACACCTGAGAGGATGGACGCTACAGTCTTCACCCGAATACAACGTAGCGTCATTATAGCTGTACTTGGGGCAACTTGGAGTCTAGATGCAGTGATAATGACCGTACGTTGTATTCGCGTGAAGAAGGCAGACTCGAGAAAACTGGTGCATCACACCCATCAGAACCTCCACTAAACCCACATACTAGGGTGAAGACGACATATGACCTCGCCCCTAAGCAAAAGAAAAGAAAAAGAAAAAGAAAACAGAAATTCTGAACGGAACTCACCGTGGCAGACAGAAGACACCACTTGGGCCAGGCGATCATCATATAAAAGCTGTCACCAGCTAGCTAGCTACGTGTTTTCGAGTTTCCTTAGGACTTTTTCCTAACTACTTTTTTTTTTTTTTTTTAATCTACATTTTTTTAGACTCCAACCTGTGGCTGCCAAGCGGGGAAATGAAATTCTTGGTGGAAATCATATGAACAAACAACTCACGGTTTCCCAATCATCTGTGCGCCTCTGAGATATTCTGCACCTCTCCACAGACACGTCCACGTTCAGGCGTTAAACCACCACCAGTACATGGCCCCAGTCAGCTCCAGAATCACAATTGAGCCTCTCCTAAAATTTTGGGAACTGACTGAGATTGTGCGCGTGTGTTCCCGCGTCTATGCGTGTGTGTGCACGGCTGGTTTTTTTGCGCGTACAAGAAGGAACCACTGCGTGTGTCACTCTGTGTGTGTGTGTGTGTGTGTCTTGTCATGTTTTTCCTTATACACAACTCCACAAACATAAAATGCCTGTGCCTGACTGTTTCGTCGGACTTGTCTTTGTGTATGTGTGTAAAACTACAGTATCGTGTGTGTGTGTGTGTGTGTGTGTGTGTGTGTGTGTGTGTGTGTGTGTGTGCGTGCGTGCGTGTGTGTTGTCATATTCGCTATACACTCAAAAAAAGCATGACGGTGCCAAACAGACTGTTTCGTCGGACTTTCACCGACTCATCAGGCGGAGATTGAACCTGGACAGACAGTCTGCCCAGGATGCATTTGACTGATGGATAAGGACTCACCCACCACATCGCCCAGAGTTAGCGACACCCCTAAGAAGTGTGTGTGTGTGTGTGTAACTAGAGTACTGACACACCAGATCCGCGCGAAGTCAGCACAGATCAAGAAGAGCGAAAGGCTGCCCACGTTTGTGTGGTTAAGCTCCAAATGCCCAAACACCCGCGCACTTCAAAGGCGCGCCCGCAATTTGTTAAAAACTAGCGGGCGCCATGCCCGCATGGATGTGCGCGTGTGGGTTGTCATGCTCGCTATACACACAGATTCCACCAAAAAAACGATGACTGTGACAGACTGTTTGGTCCAACTTTTTTCACCGACTCGTCAGGAGGTCGTTTGAGTGTGTGTGTGCGCGCGCGCGCGCGCGTCTGTCGATCACCGCCGGGGAAGGGACGGAGAGCAAGACAACAGAATCACGGAAAACTACTCAGATTGCCAGCTGCGTATCGTTGTTGTCGTCATCATTATGTGTGCCCGCGCGCGCACGTCCGTCGATCACCACCGGGGAAGGGACGGAGAGCAAGATACGGAAACCTACTCCGATTGCCAGCTGGGTATCGTTGTTGTCGTCCTCATTATTAGTATTAGTATATTGTACTGCTGCTTTTAATACTACTACTATCCTGTTTTTTTTTTATTTTTTATCTTTTAATAGGGCCCAGTGCCCAAGGCTCGAAGTTATCCGTAGAAACAAACAAGGAGGCCGGGGTCCTCACAGTCTACCCGGAGCAAAAAGAGAAGGAACCAAAAACTGTCTGGGAGCCTTCCTGTTATTTTTTAGTTATTACTTAGCTGCGTATTATACATAATACTACTAGATTGATCCGCGATCGCTGCCGACGGGAGAGAGCTCGGCATAAAGACAAGTCACTCCATCAAACACCTGCCATAGGGCCTAGTTGCACTACTCGCCATCCGCCTACGTTTCGAAAGCACCAGGACACATGTTCTGTCCACATTCGTTCAGAATTTTTACAGGATGGCGAGTGGTGCAAACTCCGCCTATACTCGCACCAGGAAAGGAGAAAAAACAATACAGCCCATGTGGCCGACTCGCACACACATGCAACTTATCTAATCAGCGGCGAACAGTCGACGAGTTCCAATCCCGATCCACGCAGAAAAATATAATCATGTCGGGGAACCGCGCCCTTTTTTTTTAATCCAAGAAAAAACGAACAAGAAAAAAAAAAAGAAAACGGAAATGAAGCAGATACGTAAAAGGCGACGCCCTCTCCGTCAAGCATTCCCCCCCCCCCGGCACCCCTCCTTCAGTTCTACACCCCTTTGTCTTTCCTTTCTGTTTTTTTCCCGATCCTCTTTTCGACTTCCCACCTTTTGGGCTTTTCAGATCGCCCATTCCTATTTCCTCCTCGTAATCTGTCACAACGGCGGACTTCTCAAGAGCAAATGGGTCTCACACCACCACAGAACATCCCAAATGAATCGGGAACAAGGCTTCGTCCAGATCCATTCAGAGTGACTGAACATTTTGATTTGAATGTGTACGGACGAGCATCAGACCCATGTACATATAGTAGAATATTAATTAACGGTATGTAACGAGAGAGCGAGGCCCTCTTCGTCCATCATCTATTTCTCCCCCGTTCTCTGCACACCTACAAGGGTTGACGTCAGCGAGTGTACAGCACTTCAGACTCAAGAATAAGGCATGATGAGAGGGGACGCGTTGCAGAACGCGGGCGAGACGCGGGGGCGCGGCAAAGAGTGCAAGATGAGCGCAGCAACAAAGAAGACAAGTGGAACGGGATGTAGAGAGGGTGGCGCGCGGAAGAGGGGGGAGGCGCGTTCGCGAGCGGGTCCACGTCGACGAAGAGGGACCCGTTGAGACGAGGTGGTGAGAGCCTTGAAGAGGACGGGGAGGAAACTGAACAGCAGGACGGGGAGGGCGAAGAGGAGGGAAAGAAGAGGCGGAGGGAAGAAAGAAGGGGGGGGGGGAGGAATACGTACCGAAGAGAAAGAGGGAGGACCTGAAGTAAGAGGAGGATTGGGAGGGGAGGCAGGACGTGAAGGGGCGCATGCGCCTCGACGATCAGCGGCCAGCTCCCAAGAGATGACGGGAACGCTTTCGAATGGGGAGGTACAGAGAGACGAGTAAGAGGAACAGCAAGAGGAAGAGCAAGAGGAAGAGGAAGAGGAAGAGGAAGAGGAAGAGCTGCTCAGCAACCACGTCTGAGAAAACTGCCTTCACCGGAGTAGAACGTACGGTCACTATTGCGGTATATCTAGAGTGAAATCTGCCTCAACAACACATTTAACAGCCGCGCGTTCTATTCGGGTGAACACTGTAGCTGGAGGACGGGGAGGACAAGCGGAGGACAAGGGGGAGGACAAGGGGGAGGACAAGAGTGCGTTAGAGCAGAGTGGGGACACGTCGGAGATATTACTAAGAGGAGACGTCGAGGAGGAGGGGCACAGCTAAAGCAAGAGGATAGTTGGATCGGAAAGGAGGAGAAGTGCGCATATGATAGGGAGAGGGGACTTACACCAAGGAGGACAGCACGTCGATGGGACAGCGCTTTGGATCGGGATTAAGAGCAGATGAAGGGGCACATATGTGAGGAACTGGGTGGCGAGGACAATTTCCATAACGACCAGCAGGAAGACGAGGCGACGGACGATGACGAAAGGAGACCGGAGAGAGGGGGAGAAAGAAGGGAGAAGGGGGGGGGGAGGCGTAAGCAGTAGGAAGCAGAGGCGGCCGACGAGGGCAGAAAGGAGAGGAGGAAGAGCAAGGAATGGCGAGGGGCCGAAAAGAGCAGTCGGAAGGTATGGGGGACGCCGGGACCGGAGAGGGAGGGGGAGAAAGAAGCGGAGGGAGGAAGCGTAACAAAACAGCGCGAAGTGCGCTATAGAGCAGGGGGAAACCACGAGGAGGAGCGCGAACTAGTATAGTGTAGGGGGAAGCTTGGACGGGAACGAACTTCTCCTTCAACGGACTTTGAGGCCGACTCCGCTGGAACACCTACGGCCCGAGCCTTCGCCCTGCCCACGCTGCATACCCCGTCGGGAAGATTGGGATCCCTTTGATGGGAGGAAGAGGAGGAGGAGAAGTGCAAAAGAAGGGAGGCGACGGACGGAACGAAGGTGAAGCAGGAGGGGATCGCGCACCGGCGGGAGCAGCAGTGCAGGGGGAAAGAAGGTCACCAAGAGACTCACCAAATGTTTCCGAATGTCGACCTCTCCCCCGCTCATTCTCTAGCTCGCATCCTAACGAATGTTGCCGCGTTAGCAATGAAATCGCGCACTGGCATGGGACGCGCGCACTGGAGGGGACGCGGCAATACACGCCAAAAGAGTTGCGCACTGGCAGGACAACTGCTGCTTCCACACGATTTTGAACCGCCAAGTAGTCCGCCAATGCGCTCCACACGGTTCGGAAGTCGAAACAGCTTCCCAAAAAGGAAAAAAGAAAAAAAAAAAGAAAAAAAGAAGTCGAAACAGGCGGCCCTCAGCCCGCTCTGCACGATTTCGAATATGATATGCAAGCAGTGTTCTGAAAGCCACCCTTCCGCCGGCGCAACGCAGTGTTTGTAGCCACGCGATGAAGAAAAGGAATCCGGCTGCCAGATAGTGCGCTGATGAAAAAAGAACACGGCACGCTAGTAACCACTACTGGACTGCCGGTAGGGTGGGCAAATTCGGACTGTGGGGTTACTCGCACTACTGCAGCACTTATCCGAAAGCATTTATAACAAGGCTGTACCTCCCTCATCGCGGTGATGAGGGTGGGCAGGAATTGCCGGTGGGGGAAATCGGCGGTGGCAGTGCCGAGCAATAGCCAGTCACTGCACCGCCCCCTACCCCTCCCCAACCCCACATGGCGGTGTGGAATGGCCAATATTGTTTTTTTTTTTTTGTTGTTGTTGTTGTTTTAAAGGGGGTCCTTAGGGCTTCATATTTCAATTCAAAGCCTTGAGGCCGGGAATCCCTCAGACACAACAAACCGGAAATGAGACAGTGTCAGAAACAACACTCATAGGTGCAGGTGTTGGGATATATGTCCAGGGACAGAATGGTCATCTCCAGGACCGCTGCCCTTTTTTTTTTTTTTTTTTTTTTGGGGGGGGGGGGGGACAAAAGCTCCAATCTATTCGTGGGGAGCAGCACGTGCTGGAACCAGGCCCAGCGTCCCATATAGAGTTCCACAAGTCATTTGAGACACCGGGGCCATTACCCGGCTTCGGCTGAGAATCAATCTGAGAACTATTGAAGAGGCTCATGAGAATTAAAGGAGAGGTGGAATGCTTAGAATCCCTAGACTCCCAAACAAAACTCTCTAAAACTGTCCAACACTGTCTTATTCCCTGTCCAGCTCTCCCAGGCCTCACACCCCCACCCGGCTAGGTTACAGAGCAACACAACTCGCCCCAGCTCCGGCCAGCGTCGTCCCAACAGCAACCCACGGTTGTCCCTTCGAATGCCCCCCCAAAGCATCCCCAGTTCTCTCTACCAGGCCTCACGCTCCTGCAATCAGCAGGTTACAGGGCAACACCCCAGCACCGGCCAGCGTCGTTCTGGCATCGAACAACCGCAGATCCATGAATGTACCAGTATTAAACAGCCTAAAGCGAGTTGCTAGAAGTCCCCAGAATCCTAAAGCATTCTCTATTTTTGCTAAGAAACAAAAACATATGCACAATTCAGAAAACAAACTCAGATACCAATCGATCCCGTATACTCCACTTCGGCAAGACTTACTGCAGCAGAGCCACCATCTCCGCTGCTGCTGTACCCTATTCACATCTTAGTAGGGCGCGTGATATCCCACCATCTCCTCTCCCACTCACCTCGATCTCTTTTTTTAGATACTGGGGCCATTACCCGGCTTCGGCTTGAGAAAATGTCTGAGAATACTTGCGATAATTCAGAAAACATTCTTTTTTTTTTTTGTCGCAGAGGTCCTGCAAATGTTCTGAAAACGTCGAAATCCCTCACAACCCCTTCCAAAGTCCTCCAAAACCGTCTTACTCTTTGCCGAGCTCTTCCAGGCCTAACACCCCCACATCCTGATGGGTTACAGGGCAACACAACTCACTCGAGCTCCGACCAGCATCATCCCGGCAGCAACCCTTGGATGTCCCGTGGAATGCCCACCCCAAAGCATCCTCAGATCTCTGTCCTAACGTACCGTAACCCTGAATGTAAACAAAGAAAGTAAGCCTTCATGGCTTGCAAAGCCACACAACCCTAAGGTAAGAACGAACAGAGGGGGATTGAGGAAGAATCGGGGGAGGGGACCGGACCTCATCGCAATGGGACAAAAGTTGCCCATTGCCACAAACACACACTACTATACTGCTCTAACTACGATAAGATTGTTATCCTACTACTATTCTATCCATGTAGAATGACCCCTACTCAACTGGAAATGTTAAGCTTTTCATTGAAACAAAGGAAAAATATCTCCATATATTCTCTCAATTTCCAAACTTAACCATAAACTAAAGCAGAGCTATTTAATCGACGAACAACTAGATCTAACACAATCCCTGTTACATGTTTGACTGCTCCCTCCATTCCGTATCCCTCTGCCTGTCCACTGCGACCGAACCTAACCGAGCAATCCAGGTCAAAAATTCCCTTTACTAGGGGGAGAATAGCCATTGATCCAAGACCAAGTTTCCTTCAACAATTCTAGCCAGCGTACCTCGATTGCACCAAGTTTCCTTTAACCACTACACACCGCCCATCTTGTTTTTCGGCCTTTATACCTTTCGTCTCCAGTCTGCTTGAATTACTTGTCTTATCACCTTCTTTATAGTGGCTCGAATTTGTCTATTTGACCAATCTTGGTCTTTGAATATGCAGTCATTCCTTCCCTGCCACATGGTAACACATATCACTGCTCTCAAAGATTGTGCAACAGAACCCTGACCTTTAGTTGGGTTCCGATGATCTCCGATTTCACCCAGCAGTGTCCATTTTTTATCCCAGACAATCGCATTTCCTGAAATAAAGTCTAATTTTTGTATCCACCATTTCTAAATACGACTAGCAGTAGGACAATCCCACCACAAATGGATGGTTGATTCGAAAACCCACTCACACCGTAAGCATCGGAGTTCCGCTTTAACCCCACGTCCCGCTAGCCAAACGGTCGAGGGAGTGACCACCAGAGAGAGCTGCCACAATGTAGCAGCTTGGCGCTGGTTGGGAATCAGGCTCAGTTGTTTCCAACATTTTATTAAATTCGATGTAATCATCCGTACCAACCATCTTTTCGTTGCCACATGTAGAGGATCTTTGGAAGGCATGATCAGTTTATAACCAACTTTTTTGGTGTAATCCAATAAGTACAAACTTTGTCCAAAACTGCTAGTAGCACGCCATTCTCATTTCTTTGGGTCTAATTTCATAAATTCAATCGGTTTAACTTCGGAGAATATCAAGCAGGAGGTGGAACCATCAGATTGCGGGTATTCCATTACTCTTATCTGAGAGAAGGTGGAGCCAACTGCGGGTTGTTCTTGATCTTCTGATTGTAATGCCACGTCAGCATTCAATCGTTCTCATTTCTGAAAAAGTTTTTTTCCGTCAGGTTGGGCTTGAATTAATTTCCACACTTGTGTGGGGTCCTCCGGGTCATTCACTTTGTACCATGTATCGGGGGGGGCTGTCACAATAGAGTCCAGCAGGTTTCTCCATGATTGTGGAATGAAGTTAATGATCAGGTTTCTCTTCTCCTGCACGTTTTTTACTTGCCTCATATTTTTTTAAAAGATACGGGATAGTGAACCACGTACCAGTGAGGTCATCCCATAACTCGCCTATCCGAAGGATGCCTCTCTCGATCCAACTCCTTCCGAAACTACTAGTGACAGTGTCTACCCCTTCACCATTCACCTGATGGGATTCTAATGTGGGGGTTTTCAAAAACTGGTTGTTTCAGCACTTCAGCTTTGGTAGTCAGTTCCACCCACACGTCTGGGCATAGGTTTTTCCAGGCCTGAATTATTGTCTTCCAAAACAGAGATTTAATGTGTCTTCTTTGAAATGAATACAAGAGTAGGCATGTCCAGACGTCTGATGGTTGACTCAGATTCCACTCATTAGCTAAAATACGTTCAGCAAGAGATATCCAGTGACATTCCTGACTCTCCAAAGTTGCCTTTAGGATCCACTTAACTAACATGGTATCGTTTTGTCTCCTTGGGTCTAGGATCCCCAACCCTCCTTGGTCATGGGGGATGTAGAGCATTTCCCAATCAACTTTGGAAAGAAAAGAATCTTAATCCCTTGCATACGGTTTTCACAAGAACTTTGCAGCTCTTGTTTTGATCAAGGAGTACAGTTGTTTCCCAAATCTTCTCACAGTTCCTATGTACCACATGAGAGCAAAAAAAACTCCATTAATCACTATACCCCTACCAAAGAGAGACTGGTGTGGGCCTCTGCCCCAAGTAACCAGCCTATGCATAGATTTTTGAATCAGAAGGTTATCCTGGTCACCCTCACATGACATCTGGGCGATTTTGACTCCAAGGAATCGTTCTGATTGCCCTATTTCAATTCGGCGTATGCCTCATTGTACCACCAAATGGTGATCGAGGCCTAAAAAATGCATGGATTTGTGTCAGTTGAATGCAATTTCCGAAAGATTAGAATACTCGTTCAGACACTGTTTCAAAGCTATCAGAGAATCCCCAGAGTTCTCAGTAACTGCAAATAGGTCATCAGCCAGCGCCTTAACCTTAGCACGACTTAGTCCGCCCGGGAGACCTTTAATTTGTTCCTTCGATGAGATGTTGTTCAACAAAAGTTTCATTTGAATTGCAAAAAGAAGGGGAGCAATGGGAGATCCTTGTCTCAGAGAGCATGTTAGTGGGAATTCATTTGATAGTCTGCCATTAACCATTATCGTGACAGTTATCGTTGACATCGTATATATAGCTACCACCCATGTAGAGAATATTTCTCCAAACCCCATCACCTTCAGGATTGTGAGAACATATGACCAGTTAACCCGGTCATATGCTTTCTCTAAATGAACTAGTAAAACAAAAAGATTTAAACCTTCATTATCGATGATTTCCAAAGTCTCTATGACAGTTACTATGTTTGTGAAGATTGACTGTCCTCTCACGAAGGCTGCCTGATCTGGGTTTACCAACCCTGACAAGTATTTCCTCAGTCTTCTCGCGAGTACTTTGGCCAATAACTTATATGACACGTTCAACACTGAGATAGGCCTCCAGTTTCTAATCTCAACTCTGTCACCCTTTTTGTACAAGACAGATATAATTCCTCTGCACATACTTGTTGACAATTTACCTCCCGTATTGTTATATATTTTCACTAAGCTATCTCCGATTATGTCCCATATGGAGAGGTAGACCTCAACCGGGAGGCCATCATCTCTTGGGGCCGTACCCCTAGACATTGCCTTCAAAGCCTCGAATGCTTCTATTGTAGTGATATGACCATCCAAATCAAGCCTACCCACTTT